ACGATATATAACTCTTGTGAGTCCCCAAGGTAATATTTATAAATATCCTTTGAAATTTGCCTACTATGTTCAAATTATGAAAAGAGTGGAACAGTCCTTTTATACTTATGATTAAGATGTACGATGTTATATCCTGAACAATTTTCAATATCAACTGTTGGTAAATCACCATTATGATAGTCTATTATGTTATATATATACATGTAGTCAACTCAGCTCAACATAACAAAAAAACAAGGGAAACATTGTTGCAAAATACTCCCGTCACAAAAGCTTTTGACATAATCGTTGGCATTATAGATATGCATATAGGAGATATGCTCTGGGCAATATCGGAAAATATCTGGATATTTTTACCATCTATCGTGCATATATTAAGCTAAACCAATGTTTCACATCCGTACTCATGATAATGACTATTTGTGTTTCAATACGCCAAAATGATGACTAAATAGTCCAATACACATTTTCATATTTTTCATCTGAACTTTGGTCCCTATGTAATGACCTTGACAATGGTATCATAGACCTGAATATTGCACGCGACACTCCGTCACACAATGGTGAACATTTGTGCCAAGCAATATTAAAATCCCTCTATGCATGTAGAAGATTTTCTCCGGACAAGCGCTTTTTAATGACCTTTACGTGTGAGCTTGACCTTTGACCTAGAGAACCAAGTGCGAGATCAGCTTCTTATGTGGTGGATATTTCTATGAAGTTTCATTAAATATCCTTCATGTGTGTAGTATATATATGTTCCGGATGAAATCTCTATATTTAATCATCTTTAGTGACCTTTACCTTGCATATATTAAGCTGAGTTACATGCTTTACATACGTAGTCATGAAATGACAATTTGTGTTTCAATCCCTCAGTAAATGATGACTAAATGGTCCCAGTTCACATGTTCATATTCTTATCTGAAATTTGTACCCTTTGTGTGACCTTGGTCTTGACCGCAGGGACCTAATTTTTGCATGCGATGCACCGCATAACAATGGTGAACATTTGTACTTAGTTATATTGAAATGCCTCTATGCATATAAGAGTTTTGTTCTAGGACAAACGTTTCTCAATGAACTCTTAGTGTGACTTTGAACTTTAACCTAGAAATCTGGTTCATGCGCGCGACGTAGCTTCTCATAGTGGTAAACATTTCTATGAAGTTTCATTAAAATTTCTTCATGTGTGTAGGAGATATGCTGAGGAAAATATTGGACGCCGCCCGTCCACCCGCCCGCCAAAGGAGTTCGTTTTTCAAACGGGTGTATGAAATGGGCCTAAGGTCACTTTAACATCTACAGGCATGTAACCACACGCTGATACGACAATAGAGACTCTTATTCACATATGACTGTTTATTATCTCTACATGTTTTTTAATCTTTTTAAAGGATTAAAAAGGTTGCACGGACGGAAATAGTGTTTACAAAAGTTATATAAACTTATTTACCATTGATCCGGTGTTTGGTATAATAAAAAACTAAAAAAATCTGATGATTTAGAGATAACTAAGAACAATAAATTTAAACTAGTCTCGTTAAGGCCAAGTAATTATTGAAAATACTGTATGTTCACAGACAAGCTATCTTTTCAACTAATCTCTTATGTTTGAGGAGTTGTATTAAATGTTTATATGTTATTAAAGAGATCCTGAAGAAATTAATAATAAACGAAACATGTGATGCTTAACAACTAACATAATAGGCATAGACATCGGTTACTTGAAGTTATTTTTGTTAATGTATGCTGATGTTATTGTAATATTTGCTTCTTCAAAAGACGAATTACAGGATAATCTTAATATTTTGCATAAGTATTGTAATCGTTGGAAATTAAGTCTTAATAAGGCTGAAACAAAAGTAATTGTTTTCAGGAAAGGGGGCCGTCTGCCACAAAATCTTAACTTTTATTATGATGGATATCCTTTAGAAATAGTTAGCAAATTTTCATATCTAGGTATTGTTTTTACGACAGGTGGTTCTTTTAGTGAGACTCATAAAACTTTATCTGGTCAAGCACAGAAAGCGATTTTTAGGTTAAGAATGTATCTGTACAAATACACTAATATAACAATTGAACACACTTTAGAAGTATTTGATAAAATATTTAAACCGATTTTTTGTACTTTTCGGAGGTATGGGGTTTCACTAAAGCTCCACAAATAGAAAGAATTCATTCTTTATTCTGTAAATCTATTCTTTATGTTATAACCTCTACTCAGAATGATTTTATCTATGGTGAACTTGGTAGATCTCTATGCACAGCGTATTTTTAGAATAATTAAATATTGGTTAAAAGTTACAAGAATTATCGAAAGCAAATATATCAAATTGATTTACATGCAAATGTTAAGTGATATAGATAAAAAACCAAGGGTAATTAACTGGGCATCTCAAGTCAGAGACGTTTTAGGAAATTTAGGATTTTTCGAAGTTTGGCTAGCGAAGGGTGTTGGTAACCAAACATTGTTTTTATCTAAGCTAAAACAAAGAATTTCAGATGTTTTTATTCAGGAATGGACAAGTCGTATAAATTTATCATCAAGAGCAGGATTTTATAGAGTATTTGCAAAATTTGAATACAGCTTTTATCTAAAAAATGTTAACATAAGTAAATACTTGACAGCTTTAACCAGATTAAGACTGTCAGCTCATCATTTAAGTGTACAAACTGGCAGATGGGGTAACATTTCCTTTAAGCATGTCAAAAATTAAAGGACGAATTTCACCTATTGTTTGAATGTAAATTGTATAATTCTATTAGGAAGCGATATGTCAACCAATATTACGTAATAAACACAAATATGTATAAAACAGCAGAATTATTTTTACTCTCATTCAGTACAAATTGTAAGAAATTTAGCAATGTTTGTCTATAAAGCTTTCGAGATTAGAAAAAAATCTACATTGCAATCTTAAAGAGTAATAAATATTCATATACTGTATAATTCTAAAGTTCCTTTCTGAACTTTCATACGTTCTTCTTTACATGTAAAAACATTTTCCTATTTTTAAACTTTATTTGATACCTTTTAAATGTTCAATATGTTGTATCATGTTCGTTATTCTTTTTTTCCTTTTTCTTGTCCTTTTCATAGTATTTTTATTATCCTCTTGTTAAAACAATTTTTTTTATAGCAAAAACTAAAGGTAAAGAAATCTTGATTATTGTTAACATTAAAATTAACATGGTTATTTCCCTTGTATGCGTCATACGCGTCTTGTACTTTCGTTTTCGATACAAGGCAATTTGTCAAATACTAAAATCCATATTTGTGTGTCAAAATCTGATTATTCATATCTGACATAAAAGCATGGCATGCTTTAGATTTTAGTAGTAAAAATAATGGTCTTGTAATTTCATTTTCGATACAAGGCATTATGTTACATATATATTTATGTATACATTTGATACCAAATCTTATAAATATTTATATATGAGCATATTATGATAAAACAAGTAAATATTTATAACCATTGATGTTTAGTAAAAAGAACACATGCAGAACAAGGTAACAAACCAAATAATCAAAGAGAAAAATATGTATGAAATTATAATTGATATGAATCAAAATGTGAATGACATCATATAGATTTGATAATATGTGAATGTAACAATATGTTGAAAGCGAGTAATATTATTATTCAATGTCCGTCATTGTATTGTAATGTATTGTGTAATGTATTGTATTTCTGAGAATTTTGTAATTTTTATTTTGTGTCAGGTCAAGGGGTTATTAGCCTAAACCAGACCGTTGTTATTTACATGTGGATTTTGACATAAAAATTCTTCTTCTATATAAAAACAGATAAACAGATGTTGTATTTTTTAAAATATGTATTAGTCATGTCCTGCTATAAACATCATTACAATTTATTGAGTGTTAGATCTTTAAAGACATATTCGGAAAAAATATAAAGATAAATAATTAGAATGCAGTAAGAAAAGATAGGAAGATTAAGAAAGGTTAAGATAAAAGTCCCCTTTATCAAGGGTGAGATACCATATTATTTATCATTAACGATGTTAAAAAGATCGAATTAAAAGTATTAAAACCTATCTCTAAACTGTCCAAAAGTCTCAACATTGAAAATATTGGAAACGGATTATATTGAGAAAAAAAACAAGAAATTCCCTTTTTTCTTTTTTTTTTTTTTTTTTTTTCTTTTTTTTTTTTTTTTGTTTCATTTTGAAAATCACAATTGGACAAAGGACAATGGAATAAAACAACTGTTTAACCAACAGTCGTTCGATGTTGTGTATTAAACTATTTTTATAATTTGTAGTACAGGTTGAACGCGATAGGTTGATAGTATTTAAAAATAACAGATGTATGTTATGAAATGCAAAGAATTATTTCATCAAGTTATTCTTCAATTTGTTTACAATTTCATCATAAAGTACTTATTATGTAGCGCCATATTTTAAGTATGTTTATGTTTTAGAAACTGTTTTAAGACGAGTTTTTTCCACCCGATCGAAATAATTCTAGCTTATGCAAGTGCAATATTATCGCAATTAATCGACGACATAAAGTAATAAAAAAATTCAATTTAGACCTTGTATTAGAAATTGCTTTCAATGAATGTTCTTTAAATTGCCTTCAAAATATAATTGTAATGTAAACTGAATGAAATGATTGCCATGTCCCGTATTTGACAAAATAAAGACACAGTGCATTTTCAACGTCTATTTTTCTTTTTGTTTCAAAACACGTCTTCATTTTCTGTTTGAGTTTCACTCATATGTAAGACTTTACTTTGCCCCGTCCTTTGATTTACATGAAGTGTTAATAAAGAAATACATATTCTGAGCTGTCTTAGGTTATATCAATTACAAGTACACTTTAACAAACTGCTAGAGTATTAAATAGTTGCATTTTGTGTTTAAAAGGCATTTAAAGAGATCCTCAAGTGAAATTTTATACGTGACTCATTGCAGTGATCATGTAAAATGATGATAAATAAACAGATGTAACAAAAAAACAAACAAGACATTTTAGGTATACCGTATATAGCAACCGCCTCGTTATACCTGTTGATCAACGTTACATAAATATACTTTTTTTATTTTACGCAGTTTTGCTATATAATAAGACGGATATATTTTAAAAGTTGTTAGGTAAATATTAACATATTAATTGTATGTTTGATATTCATAGACATATTCGGGAAATGTATGATAAGTAATTAGAATAATGTCAGATAAGTTTGAAGTAAATTATAAGAAAAGTTCGAATAAAACATCCAATTATCGAGATTGAGATATGATTAATAACATAATTGTAAGGTAGACAAAATTAGAGCTTGAAAATTTATTTTATAAAGACAAAAATAATTTTCTGAAATGACCCTAAAGGTAGCAATTTTGACAGTCCTAACGTTAATAATATGATGTGAATTATAAAGAATTCTTTAAGTTTTGAGAAGCAATGTTCTAGAATCATTTTGTGACAAAGGACAAGAGAATAAAATAATTGTTTTATGATACATATTTTATAATCAAAAGTACTTGTGGTTTAATGAGATGGTTTATGATTATGAAAAACAACAAAAAGATGTTATGAAATATTATACATTATTCCTGACTTGTTGATAGTTCATCATTTTGTACATAAATATGTAATGCCCTATTTTTTTTCGAAATTTGTTTTCAGACAAGTGCAGAAAAAAATGGATTCGGTCAAAATAATACTTGCATTCGTTCTCCTTTCTAATTCAATGATTGTCAAAGGAGACCCAGCAACGTGCCGTGATAAAATGTTATTATCCACCTGGTTGTGTCGAGATACCAGCTAAGGGACAATGTTGTCCGAAATGTAAACGTATGTGTGTTGTTTTAACATTCCGAATTTTTAGTCATTTATTTATTTGTTTGTTGTTTATTTGTCTGTTTCATTTTTTAATTAATTAATTAATTAATTAATTAATTAATTAATTAATTAATTAATTAATTAATTAATTGATATTTATTTATTTATTTATTCATAAACGCGTATGTGTTTTGTTTTTGTATAATTATTTTTATTACAAATTAGGGTTATGGGGAAAATGATTGACGACATACTTTCAATTTTTAACTAAGTAACTTATACAATGATTCATAATAAAGCATTGAGTGTATGAATGTCACTGGTATTCAAGATCTTGTCGTGACCTTTTCACTATATGTAGTATTGTTAAAATAATGTATTTTATAAGCTGTTCTCCTTGTTGTTAAGATGAACAATAAATGTAATGATGATAAACTGCCACATCAGGCCAGTGATGTTGCGGAGTTGTATTTCAATCACTCCAGTCTTAGAGAGTAAAATAATGTATGATACGATTATTATTATAATTATTCAGAACATCTTATTATCTACATACTATAAAACTAGTGTACATACGACTAGTTACATTATAACTTTTAATACAGGATACTTATATATAATTTGTTGACAAATGTTGCGGTTTCATAAATACTGAGGCGTAACAAACATATAGTTTTTCGGAAAATTTTACACCTGTATGCACTACCAATTAGTTGAAAATACGTTAAGATCCAGGTGAACTGACATGTTTATAAAATGTTTTATTCTAGAAATATTCAAGCGTGAATCTTGTCTTGAAGTTAAAAACAAACAACAACATTTTATTTTTAAATATGTATCTCGGATCTTAAGATCTTATTGGTCTATGCACATTATGTGGCTGTTAAACGCTATCAAAGTTAATACAAGTAAAATGGTTTCCTGCGGGGAAAATTTTTAATGATATAAATATATTTCATTTAACTATTTTCAACGTTGTTTGGGGGATAAATAAACGTTTGTTTCAAGAATATAGTTGACAATTATCGATCAATATAGAAGAAGGTCTTTGGAAACTAGTGACCGTTGAAGACCTGAGAACCGGAGAAGGTCGAACTTTAAACAATTATTCCTTTTCAAGAAAATGATAGAATACCATTTTCTGAATAATTCCGAGCAAAAAAATTAAAGTTAACACACAAGTTTTAACGCATAAAATATCTCTTTTTAGTATGGCAGATGCCACTACGAATATTTTAATTTTGTAGATTTTCAGTGTAAACATTTATTGTTTATAAAAATTTGAGATAGATATTAAAGAAACTTTGATAATTTTCAAAACACATCATTCAAGTTTTTCCATTTAAACGGTTAAATAAATATAGAAAATTAGAAATATCACGTAATAGTTTTTTTGTTGTTAATTATGTGTAATTCGGACTAACTCCCTAGAGGTAATCCGTAACTTACCGGCAAACGGTATTTAGCTAGGTTTTCGAAATGGTCAATTAACCAATTATGTACGGTTTACAGATCACATACCTATCCATATACCTAAAACAGGTCATGTGCTCATCCATGTCTCAAAAGTTAAATGCGTACCAATTCCCTGCGGTCTTCAGACCGCAGGGAATTACCCTTGAGATTGTGTTCATCACTGTCAATTACATCACATTTCTTTAAAACTGAATGTGTAATCGTCAGAAAATTCAATGAACAAATAGTTAAGTAAGTAATAGTTACCGTACGAGGAATAGGTCTGCATAGTGTTTACAGACACGGGTGGCGATTTGAAGACCGAGAGAGCGTAGCGATCGAGGTTTTTAAAAGGCGACCGGGTCTGTAAATACTATGCAGACCTATTCCGAGTGCGGTAACTATCTTACCTACATGCTCTTTTGTTTTTCTATCCATACATCAGTTTTTAGCTCAGTATTTATTAATATTACTTACAAGAAACATATAACTTATGTATTTTATCATGTTTAAGAAAGCATTCCAAAGCCAAGCAAAGATACCATCCACTACGCTCTTGTAATTCATTCGTTCACAAATCAGGTGTTATTTGGATATTCTCGTGATTCTCGTGGGGTTTCATTATAGGTAATGTACTTGTTGAGTTGAGTCACAGAAAATGAAAACAGAACTTGTCGAGTAGGGAAAGGTAAGATCATTATTTTGATATATGAATACATAAAATATTAATAAAATAAACAAATACTGAGGAAGATAAAAATATTTTCTAATCATAAAAAACGGAACACTTTTTCTTGCATATCAGACTGGCGTTTCCGTGAGTTTTACCCATGCCGGAAATTTCATCTGGCATGGGGGGTTCCAGATGAGTCGCGTGCTGTACAATGGCACGATTAGGATGACGTCATTTTACCGTTATGAATGAAGTTGTAATTCATACGTTGTTCTAAGAAAGTAGTTACGGTTGTAATGATATAAATTTTCATTGAAAATAAAGATAAAGAATTTAAATATAATGGAATATGGTAGAATATGCAAGAAAAAATATCTGACATATGTTTGCGGTTCGGATCGGAATATCCGTCCCTCGGTCACCCGCCCATGGGCGGTAACTCGGCAAGCCTCGTTACCGCCCAATGGGCGGGTCACCTCGGGACGGATATTACATCCGAACCGCAAAATATGACAGATATTATTAATCTTTATACATAATAAATTTCCTGGTAAATAGATGATCAGGCTATCTCTTATATAATTAAAATATACATTTTTTCAAAAGAAAGTAAAAGACGGGGTTCTATAACTAAATATTAGTAATACATGTAGTTACACCGTTATGTAAGTTGGGTTTTGTTGTTGTTGTTTTTTATGATGGCTGATTTTAAATGTTCTTAGAATTTCATCCATGTTTAGAAGAATTTTCTTTAGGTGTATTCTTAATTAGCATCATCCGTTATAAGACCGCATATAAGCACGCGATCAAGAATGGAAGCGAAAGTCGTATTCTTGGTACTGGTATACAAAATCTAAATTGTGATGTAAAAATAACTAAAAAATGAGAAAAACGATCTTATACTTAAGATGAACTATACTCTCACTGAAAGTAATATTTTTTGAAAGAAAGATGCAGAAATTGACTTTGATTCGATATGCACCAGTAATATAATCGTCGTATATATCCTATAAATGCAGAATTGTTAAAATAATGCAGAATTGTGCAAATTTAGACATAGTTGTGGAAATAAATACCGAAAACTAGTATCTTATGAAGCTATATAGTACGGCAAATGTGTTAGGTATACCGAAAAGCAAACTTTAAAGAAAGGCTTAATGTGCGTTGTTATACGCCAGAACAGTAGCCAGTTCGTTTTTCTCACAAATAATCTGGAATATAAGTTATGAGGGTCCTTACAGTCGTATGCGCTAATTTATTTCGATTAATCTTTAAAATATACATCGACCCTTTTCCTATTCAAAATGGTCATTATCCCTCCCCCCTCCCCTACAATTCAGCGTTATTTTACGGTGAATATTGTGTAGTGTAATGCACGAGTTTCTCGACTTCACATATTTTCTATTGTATAGAGAACAATAGAACAATAACCGCTCGGTATCTATTTGCAGACCTGTTAACCGGTCGGTAAGTGATTTACTAGACCGCTTTTAATAAAGGAGCCGGTAGGTAATTACGTATCTAATGTATCTAGTAATTCAAAACGAACGATCATTTTTTTGTTATAAGTGGCAAATATTACAAAGTGTAAAATACGAACTCTGTAAAATGTAAATCTAACCATAATAAAGTTGCATGCATGAATAAATAAGTGGTTGATTTTTGCAGGCGGTTAATCTTGTAAATATGAAATTGGTAATGGGAGTGATAAAGTTAAAGTAAACATTCTACACGAAGAGAGCAAACAAATTGATACATGTAATACATGTTTATCACATAATACGCGGCGCAGGAGTGTAATAAAGCCATTTAATAAAAACGATATTACACTAGTGTAATATCACTTTGACGTGACGTCATTTGCGCTAAATATATACATAGCGTTAAAGCGCGCTAATGTTAGCGTTACACTATAGGCGCGTCATTGAAAAATAACTCATTTTAACAGTTTACTGTTCTTATTTTATATATGTGATAAATAGAATATTATATTCGTGTAGATTCAATACTAAATTTATTAAACTCGTTGAATAAAACAATATTATGCTCGCCAGAGGCTCGCATAATATGATTTTATTCAACTCGTTTAATAAATTTGGTATTAAACTACACTCATTCAATATCCTCTATATCTGCAATGACGGTATACTTAGGTGTACCGAGAAAGCTTGTTGTATGATTTATTTTATTGGCGACGCCGGTGAGCGGCGTCGTCTATTATGGAATGCTTTTTATTTTTGCCTATGGAAGGAGCTGTTATTATTAGCAGATAATTTCATGTTGTGTTAATTAGTTTTATTTTGATTCGTAAAAATCAAGTAAACAAATGTGTTGTTATATTTGTATTTAATAATTTTATGTAAAAAGCATGTGCATTGTGATATTATTTTCCCGAAATTGCAGGTTAAGTTTAACAGCTTGTCCCTTAGTTTTAATGACAATACTAAAACCCGGATTTCGAATATCGTTGTGGTCTAGATTGAGGCCGTATCAGTTCATTCATTCATTTATACATTTTCAAAATTTTCCTACCAGAAGAAAGTTCACCTGCAATTGAGTATAAGGATAGGTAATGGAACTTTTGTAAACGATTATCCTATTGATATTGTCCTTATTACATTTATCTGTTGCGCAGAATGGTTGTTTTTACAAAGTGTACCAGTATCCGGATGTTGAAAGCAATCCGATTTTCTGCAATTACTGCTGACCCATGGCCATCTATATTTTTATGAATACTTAATTACATTAATTTGCATGGCTTGATAAAACTGAACCTGCAGCATTTCATAATTATGCTGTTTAGGGTGTTCTTTTGGGTTTCAGGTTTTCTTTATTTTAAGGGGAAGTAACTCATGTTTACTAAATTATTTGTCCTTTTCTGTCTATCTAAGGTATTACTTATAATACTATTTTTGTTGTATATAATTCACCAGTTGTAAGGTCATCAAAAGCATGTTAATGTTAGGATTTCATATTCATTTAATATAAACTGGGAATTATTAATGTTATGTGCATACATGTATATCTTAGACAGTAGTATATTGATATGTTGAGACTTATAATTTTTCTGCATTTAAAGAGTTACAGTTATGTCATTATTATTAAAGGAATGAGACTTTCATTTAAAGTTATAAATGATAAAACATGTATTGATTGAAAATGTCCTTAAACTTGGATCAAGCAATATAATTAATAAAGTCTCAAAAAATCATATTCTGAACAGTTATTCTATTTATTTTCTAACATGTGCATAGTTTGAAAAGGACAGCTTCTGCCTTATCTATTTGTAATGAAGGGACACCGGTCTCAACCTCCAGGTCTCCTGAGTCAACTCGACAACAGACTGTTCATAGAGTAGATTGTTACTTGCCCTTGAATAAATTTGTGCACTAAATTTATAGTGGGTGATTTGTGCCACATGAAAACCAACATAGTACAAAAAGTAACTGGGCGCCAGATGAAAACATGAAAATACAATCTACCACAAAGTGGTTTGTTTGTTGCATTTTCATGTTTTTGCCCGGTGCCCTTGATGCAAAATACAAATCAGCCTTCATAAAATTTCTTATGTTGGTCACAGGTTTGAGTTCTGGTCAAGCTCAAAGTTTTTCTCATCCTGCGACTGCATATAAGCATGAGTTCAATTTCCTATGATCTGTAACATAAGAAATTCACGAACACAAATCGATATAGTTGGGAAATATGTTGTGGTTTAGAACTGTTTCATTGTGTAGCAGGCCGGATAGCTCAGTTGGTCTTCTGAAAGTCATGGGTTCGAGTCATGGTCAGGCAGTTTCAGTCAGGGTTTAGAAGTGGTTTTTCAATTGACACATGTTTGATTCATTTAACAGATTGCATTATTTGAAATGGACAAAGGCAGTATTGCATGATACTTTTAGATCTACAAAGGGCATTTTATACAGTTGAACACACTATACTGCACATGAAGAAGTTGTTTTTCTTCTTCTTCATGAAACTTCAAGCATCTGCCATATATAATGACATTCTTACATGGTTTAAGTCTTATCTCTGATAGTAGCTGGTTGATGTGGCTGGTACTCATTCTACTACTGCTCTGAGTACCTATGCTGTCCCCCTGATGTTCATTTTAGGTCCTCTTTTATGTCTAATATATGTCAATTACATGTCTTCAACCCTAAGCAATAAGCTTTTCTTATAATGCACAGGCACGAATATCAGACCTTGGAAGAAAAAATATAGCCAGATTGATAAAAAAAACCTGTGAAGTGTCAACAACCGAAATAAAATGTAAATAATGACCCCCTTTAAAAATATACTTCAAGTTGATAGTATATTTTTAAAGGGGATCATTATTTACATTTTTTGGGGGATTTTATAAACACAGTTTTTTTATCAATCTGGTCATCTTTGTCATATTTTTTCTTCCCAGGTCCGATACTCGTGCCTGTGATTATATGCTGATGACTCAGGAATCCTTGTGTCTCATAAAATAAATCTGAAAAAATTCTTTCTTATAGAATGAGTCTTATAAGATTGCTTAATTGACTATAAATTGTCCTTGCATCTTGACAAGACAGAGTCTATTCTTTTTTGGTTTAAGTTTCAACTTAAACTGGCCCTAGCCTCCAGGTCACTTGTAATGGTACTGCTATAAAGTACATATCTTTTATATAGGTGCAAATCTGGATCAAATTCTTTTGGCGTCGCCCTTTGATGCTTTGCATCAATGCTTTTCTTGTATTTGTTTTTATTCATTTGATTCAGGTAGTAATTTAATACCATGTAGTACATTTTACAATAATATATTAAATCCTTGTTTATTTACAGTATAATTTAAACCATGTATAGACAATAACTTGCATGATTTTTAGCTCGACTATTCGCAGAATAATCGAGCTAATGCAGTCACCCATTTGTCGGCGTCGGCGTCGGCGTCGGCGTCCCTGTGGTTAAGTTTTTGTATGTAAGCTGGTATCTCTATAACTAATGAAGGGAATGGATTGAAACTTCACACACTTGTTCCCTGTGATTATCTAAGATGATTGGCACAAGTCCCATAACTCTGATTTGCTTTTTTTCATAATTATGCCCCTTTTTCGACTTAGAAACTCTTGGTTAAGTTTTTGTATGTAAGCTGGTATCTCCTTAACTACTGAAGGGAATGGATTGAAACTTCACACACTTGTTCTCTGTGATTATCTAAGATGATTGGCACAAGTCCCATAACTCTGATTTGCTTTTTTTCATAATTATGCCCCTTTTTCGACTTAGAAATTCTTGGTTAAGTTTTTGTATGTGAGCTGGTATCTCCTTAACTACTGAAGGGAATGGATTGAAACTTCACACACTTGTTCTCTGTGATTATCTAAGATGATTGGCACAAGTCCCATAACTCTGATTTGCTTTTTTTCATAATTATGCCCCTTTTTCAACTTAGAAATTCTTGGTTAAGTTTTTGTATGTAAGCTGGTATCTCCTTAACTACTGAAGGGAATGGATTGAAACTTCACACACTTGTTCTCTGTGATTATCTAAGATAATTGGCACAAGTCCCATAACTCTGATTTGCTTTTTTACATAATTATGCCCCTTTTTCGACTTAGAAATTCTTGGTTAAGTTTTTGCATGTAAGCTGGTATCTCCATAACTACTGAAGGGAATTGAATGAAACTTCACACACTTGTTCTCTGTGATTATCTAAGATGATTGGCACAAGTCCCATAACTCTGATTTGCTTTTTAACATAATTATGCCCCTTTTTCAACTTAGAAATTCTTGGTTAAGTTTTTGTATGTAAGCTGGTATCTCCTTAACTACTGAAGGGAATGGATTGAAACTTCACACACTTGTTCTCTGTGATTATCTAAGATAATTGGCACAAGTCCCATAACTCTGATTTGCTTTTTTACATAATTATGCCCCTTTTTCGACTTAGAAATTCTTGGTTAAGTTTTTGCATGTAAGCTGGTATCTCCATAACTACTGAAGGGAATTGAATGAAACTTCACACACTTGTTCTCTGTGATTATCTAAGATGATTGGCACAAGTCCCATAACTCTAATTTGCTTTTTAACATAATTATGCCCCTTTTTCGACTTAGAAATTCTTGGTTAAGTTTTTGCGTGTAAGCTGGTATCTCCATTACTACTAGAGGGAATGGATTGAAACTTCACACACTTGGTCTCTGTGATTATCTAAGATGATTGGTACAAGTCCCATTACTCTGATTTGCTTTTTTGCATAATTATGCCCCTTTTTCGACTCATGAATTCTTGGTTAAGTTTTTGCATGTAAGCTTGTATCTCCATAACTACTGAAGGGAATGTATTGAAACTTGAAGAGTTTGTACCTTTTCGGACAATTTTATGCATTCATATAGGTAAGCATTATTATACTCAATGAAACACCCTTGTGACAAATTTTCGAATAGTCGAGCGTTACTGTCCTCCGACAGTTCTTGTTTTACCCTGGAACGAAACATGGTCCCTAATTATCTTCTTCACTAGAACTTTTTCTTTTTACCATATGCTACTGTAGTGTTGCATATTGAATAGACCTCTTTACTTAGATAAACACTTCTTTCCAAAATATTGAAATTCATCAGTATTATCATAATGAATTATCATTAATAAACTTGTCGAATCTAAATTATAGATAAACTGTGTTTTCTGTCTCTAAAAAAAGTTTTGTCTATTTCAAGAATGTTTCGATAAAGTGCATTGCTTGGTAATTTGTATAGTAAGGGAAACTGTAAGGTTAAAAGACCCGGGTGTGAAATGGGAAGTAAGACATTCCCTGTCAATAGCTCAAAATTAATGATGTTTAAACTTTCCCAATATATTTTTGAAGGAAGCAAAGATTAAAATAAATATTAGCTTAAGGAAATAAATTAGGAGAATTTATAATAAATTCGACATAATGCAACTTAAGGGAAGGGTGTGCAGGTGCTGTTGGTTGTAACGCCGCAACAACTACGCTTGTTAACATGTATCAGAATATGAACTATCGTAACATTGTATAAAATGTTAAGTTTGGTAAACTGAAGTAAAAGGAAAACCATTTAACGGAATTTTTACTCAAATTATGTTTTACTTACATTGTTTATGCATTGTGTAATTTACTTGATACAGTTCATATGCCGATGGATACAGTTCATATGCCAATGAGTACAGTTCATATGCCGATGGATACAGTTCATATGCCGATGAAGTCATTTAAACAAAAACATGTGATCATAGAAGTTTGTAAGGTTTATAAAGAGGAATAAATTGATTATGCGTTAACTATAGGATTAATTAATTATATGTATGCATTTCAGTACCAGCTGGAGCATACAATTTACCATAGATGTTGACCACAGACGAACGAGTTTTACTTACCACAGCTAATTCCTACTAAATCGGATTTTTAAATTGAAACAAAAATGTTTTTGAACTTGGACCTTTTGCACAAAAATGGCAACATATACTTTTCAACCAATATTTTATCATATTATAATATTTAATTGCATTCTTATGTACAGTAACTGATAGTGACACCACTGCGTACTTTCCAGAAATTTCAACTCATTGTTACCAATGCTATAAAGATGATTAAATAAATTTCGACAAGGTTATAATGAATTACTTACAATATTATCTTGAAAATATATATCATATTGTTTATATTTTTCGCCTTTGAAACATCCAAATGAAATAGTAATGGGTATAGGTACATGTTCAGGTGTGATATCGTAAAAATAAGTACTTGAAATGAAGTGGAATCAACAACTACAAATATTCAAGTGTGATTATGCTCCATGTTTTATTGTAAAGGACAAATATAAATCTTCCTAAAAATATGAAAAGGCTGCCCCATTTTATTTACTTTTTTTATTTTTATTTTATTTATCGTATGGATATTTTTAGAAATTCGTCGAACCACTATTGTTATCTATCGTTTTTGCAATGTATATAATAATGTAGTTTAAAGGATTTATGGAAAATTGTTATTTTGACCTTCACCTATTCACTCACTATATTTCCTTGGATACTACAGATCTACAAACTTGTCATACATTTGGATTGGATGACTTGGGCATGGACAGTATTTTTAGGTCCGTTCATCAACAGGCTCAAATAAAACTGAGCCTGCAACATTTTCAATGTTTCCATTTTTGACGTTCATAAGGGATTATTTCTCTTTATTTTATTTGTCTTATTTCTCTTTTCCATGAAAAGCTCAATCAAAAAGAGACGGCATTGGCTTGGGATTCTTTATTGTTTCCGTTTTTCTCTCTATTTCCATTTTCATTTACAATCAAGTCGGTAGACTGGCACAATTTTTCCCTTCTTACAAACAAAATTATTAAAACATTTTGGCAATTGCGGATGTTACTCTTTAGTTTTATAATATACTGCCTGCTCTTTTTCAATATCTACGTAGCATACAATGGTAATTTTGTTGTTATTTTGTAAGAATAAGAATAAACAAAATCAACAAGGAAAGGTGGCAGTCAATGAACGCAACCCCACACGGCCAAGCAACAAGAACCAGTTGCAAGATTGTAAAAGATTTGCTCCAGTTCTATGAAATTTCATTTTAATTCCTACATGTGTGTAGGAGATATGCTCCGGAAACAATTGGTCTTTGGTCTGTCCGTCCATTTTTCATGGTCGTTCCTGTATTACGAAACCATTAGTTCAAACGAACGTATAAAAATGAGCATAATGTCAGTATAACATCTATAGGCATGCAAGCACACGCTGATACATCATTAGGGACTCTTATTCACATATGGA